GGCAGAGACGGAGCAGGCCGACCACCAGCTGGCCCAGCCCAAGGGAGGTAAGGCACCCGCCGGAAAAGGGGAAAAAATGGTGGACAAAAAAAATGGCGGACAAAAAAAATGGCGGACAGCCTTGCTTGGCGACCCCCGTGAAATGGTCGATCGACCCCAAATGGGGTCCCGACCCACAGGTTGAGAACCACTGATCTAGGTCAAAACTGAACAGCCCTCTCTCAACTGAGGGAGAGGGATCCAACATCATCTATCTCCCGTCTACAAAACAGTCCTTTCAGCAGTTCCAAAAAAGGCTCCACGCTCATTTGCACTACTCAGGTGACCCTGATGACACAGATAAACCTCCAGGTGGCATCAAGGACTCTAAAAGAATGCAAATGATCAGCTGTCTGCAAGGAGGATGAGAAGCAAAACGTCTTCAAAGAAAAAACCAAGGAAGTCCAGTTGCCTCATGAAAAAGCATCTTCGGGATTTCATGGGCAAGAATCCTGGCTGATTTTAAGAGATAAAGGCATTAGCTGACCTTAGCGGCCTTGGAAAAGCAAAAGCCTGAATAGCTTTAGATAGGAGACCACCATGAGATCTCAGGTCTGTAACTATGTTTTTGAGAAACATCCTGGAAGAAAACAGAAAATGCGGCATTGATAAGAAAGTTGCAAGGATATGTCTGTATAGTCAGTGAGAGGTAAGATTGATTGGGCCTAGCTAACTTTTGCTGATGAGGTAGCCCTGCTGACTACTTGGAAAGGAGTTTCTCCAAAGAAGGTCAAGGCCGTTTCCTAATGTTCCCAACATAGCTGCATGAAGGGATGACTGCCCTATTAGCTCATCATAATCTTGACATCGTTGGTGGGTTGGTTGATTGGTTGATTATGCACACAATAAAATTCTAGCACAGAGGTCCTCAACCTATGGGCTGCGGCCCACTACCAGGCCAGGACCTCATGGCCACCGGGCTGCGTGAATAGCTGTGCAGTGCACGTGCATGTGTGCGCATGCTCACCCTCATACCACTGTTGCGTTAATATTGCACGGGTGATGGCGTTGCCACAAACTGCGTGGGTGGTGGCAGCACTATGAGTAGCAGGTGGGTGGGGCGCAAACCTTGCATGGGAGCGGCGATGCGATCCTTGTGCCGGTGGTTTCACCGCAAGCCTGGCAGCGCCAGCGTCACTGAGAGCCTTGCGTGCATGCTGGCAGCCCCTTTTGCGTGGTGTGCACGCTCGTGGCCTGTTTGTGTGCACGTGTGGCCACGTTCATGTTTACATGTGCGTGCATAAGGCGCCTGCCCCTCCTTCTGCCAACCCAGAAAGGTTGGAGACCCCTGTTCTAGCATACAGGGTCAAGAGCATCTTCCATACCTATAACCAACAGTAAAACCAGAGGGCACTAAGGATAGGAGTAATAATGACAGAATTGGATTTACAATTATAGTATGTTTGTGAAAACATTAGATGCCAAACATTTCCTTTACCTTTGCCACTTTTCTTGGTGCCTGTGTTATGCCTTTATACTTTAATAAGTATTATTCTCTAGCCCATACCTAGTACCATACTGTGGGCAAGAAACAGTTACTTAGATTTGAATTATCACTTGAAGTTGGAAGATTTCTGGGTACTTATATTTCGGAGGACCTCTCATGGACTATGAATGCTAACATGCTTGTGAAGAAGGCACAGAAGAGGCTGTACTTCCTGAGAATGCTCAGGAAGATAAATTTATCTCAGCATCTACTCCTGTCCTATTATCACAGCACCATTGAGAGTGTCCTGACATACGGCATTCTTTCATGGTATGGGAGCAGCTCTGTAGCGGACAAAAAAGCTCTACAGAGGATTATTAAAACTGCCCAGAATATTATTGGATTCCAGCTACCAGCCCTGGATAACATCTTCGAATCTCGTTGTTTGAGGAAGTTGCATAACATTCTCAGAGACTCTTCCCATCCTGCTTACAATCTTTTTGGACTGTTGCCTTCTGGCAGAAGATACAGAATAATTAAAACTCGAACCACACGTTTTCTGAATAGTTTTTATCCCAGAGATGTAATTGCACTCAACAACGAACTAAGGGGCCACCATCAGTGAACTGTTGGACAGCATTACTTGGTCTGTTGTGTGGATGTTGGGTGGTTTAGGGGTGGGGATTGTGGTGGGGGGGAGTGTGTTTGGGGATTATGTGTGCGGGACTTGGTTTTTGGGTGTCGAGTAAATTTCGTTGTATATGTATACTATGTACGCACATACAATGACAATAAAGTATATATATAAAGATGTTGGATATACTTGGAATAGCATCGTCTCCCAAGATATGTATGGCACCCACTCTCCTGGGGTTCCATAAAGCCCTTAAGACTGCAGCTTCTGGGTTTGTGGAGTCCCCGTTGTATTGTTTTGGCTGTTTTCTTGTCCAGCTGTTTGTTATTGTGTTTTTAAATTTCAAATAGTAGAAAAGATTACCTTTCTCCTTTTCTGGTCTCCACAATGTTATGTTTCTTCTAATGGCAAGCTACTCAGCACAGCTCCTTTAGAATTAGAGAGATCTATCACGGTTTAGGACAGCTTTTTCATTTTTATTTCCTTTTATTCCATTATTCTACTGGCAGAGATGAGGCTCAGAGGAGGGGGGGGGAAAACAGCTACATCATGAACTAACATAAAAGACTATGTTATGTCACATTAATGGTAAGTTCGATATACATGCCAATAATTAAATGTTTTTGTTATCCTTAGGAAGTGTAAAAATGCTGGATTTTATTCCATGCCAAGGTCTGTAATGTATCTGGAATTACAAAGAAGAAATAGAAAATTCAGATGACATCTTGATTCCCTGATGTCTGAGAGCTGTTGAGGCCACTTGGGGATTTATCTGTGCCCTCAGGGTCACCTATATCAGGGTGAAATTTGGATAGAGAGGACCATTGGTTTGAAAGAGGGGTAAAAGAATCCATCTATGATAGAATTTAACACCCCTCCCTCAACAGAGGGGGAGGAATATGACACCAGCTATCTCCAGTTTACAATGGAGCCCTTTTTAGCAGTTCCAAGAAGATTCCACAACCGATTGCATCCTATCCTTCCATCCCCTTGCCATCAGAACTTCTTGGATGAGAAGTTAAACATTTTCTTCTTCTTCTTCAAGAAAAAAACTCCAGTTGCCTTTTGAAGAAAAAAAGCACCTTTGAGACAAGAGACCACAGAGGAATCCAGTGTAGTTGCATAAAGAACTCTCAACAAACTGAGAGAAAAAAAGGACAAGTATAAAAAATGAAAAGACATAACTAAAGCAGAATACCAGCAAATAGCCTGAATCTGCAAGGATAAAATCATGAAAGCTAAAGCTCAGAATGAACTAAGACTTGCAACAAATGCCAAAAATAATTGTAAAAGTTTCTTTCAACATGTAATAAACAAGAAAAAAGTCAAGGAAATAATTGGTCCACTAACTTCTTGGATGAGAAGTTAAACATTTTCTTCTTCTTCAAGAAAAAAAAAACAGTCCAGTTGCCTTTTGAAGGGAGAAGATGGCAAGGAGGTGATGGGTAGTGGAGAGAAAACAGAATCACTTAATTTATTCTATGCATCTGTCTTCACCCAAAAATTGTCCAACTTATTAAAAGCAGCACTGTAGGAGAAGAACAGGAATGCAAATCAAAATAGGCAAGGAAATGGTAAGAGAACACCTATCCACTCTAGACAAGTTCAAATTGCCAGGACCAGATGGATTAGATTCCAGGGTTCTGAAAGAGCTGGCAGATGTGATCTCAGAACCAATGAACAAAATCTTTCAAAGCTCCTGGAGTACCAGGAAAGACCAGAAGATTGGAAAAGAACTGATGTGGTTCCAATCTACACAAAATGGTGGGGGAAAGGGAAATGGATCCACCAGTAAAAGAGAATGTTTGTAACTTGGGGTTGAAGTGTGTGGTCCCTGGTGCTCTTTGAACTTGGTAATAGTTTGATAATGAAATTAGTCTGGTATGAAATGCAACAAAACCACCAAGCTCAGAAAGCAACAAGGACCCCAAAGTGGATTGTGGAAACTACAGACCAACATGCAGACATCAACAATTGAAAAAAAAGATAATCCGCAACCTGTGGGTCGTGGCCTATTACCATAGCCCATTGGGCCACGGTCTATTTACCATGGCCTATTGGCCACGGGGCCACGGGAGTGGCTGGCCAGTGCGTGCATGTGTGCATCACTGCGAGTGTTGCAGGCATTCGCAGTCCCATTCACATGAACATCGCTGTGGGCATTTGTGGACCCACTCATGCAAGCGCCATTGCGGGCATTTGCGGCCCCACTCATGCGAGCATGGTTATGAGTGTCTGTGGCCCTGCTTGCGTGAGCATCGGCACAAGTATCAGCATTGTGCGAGCAATGGGTGTTTGTGTGCGCACATGTATGTGTGCATGTATTCACCTACCCAACCATCTCTTCTTTTCCCCCTCCTCCTGGTTCAGGCCACCAAACCCAAAAGGTTGGGGAACTCTGTCCTAGTAGACCACTACCATTAAATATGAGGCAGCAAAACTAATGCAATCCTATTTTGCATCAATAGAAGGATAGTTTCAAAATCACATGAAATCAACTGCTTTATTCCACATTGGTGATACCACATTTAGAATGCTCTGTCCAATTCTGGTCACTATGATACAAAACAGATGTGGAGACCCTAGAAAGAGTGCAGAGAATAAAGATGATAACAGATCTAGAGGCTAAACCATGCAATGAACAATTGAGGGAACTAAGTATGTCTAGTACAGGGGTAGGCAACCTTGGCTCTTTTATAACTTGTGGACTTCAACTCCCAGAATTCCTGAGCCAGCATAGGATAGCTGGCTCAGGAATTCTGGGAGTTGAAGTCCACGAGTCATAAAAGAGCCAAGGTTGCCTACCCCTGGTCTAGTATAACAAAGAGATGGATTAGGGGTAGTATAATAGCAGTCTTCTACTATTTGAGTGTCTGTCACAGAGTGTCTCAGCCTATTATCTAAAGCACTGAAGTTAGGACAAGAAATAACAGGTGGAAGATCTTTAACGAAAGATCCAACCTTGAACTAAGGAGAAATTTCATGACCGAACAATCAGGAGAATAGCTTACCTCCAGGAGTTGTGGGTGCTCCATCACTAGAGGTTTTCAAGAAAAGACTGAATAGCCATTTGCACAAAATGGTATAAGGTCTCCTGCTTGAACGGGGTTGGACTAGAAGACATCCAAGGTCCCTTCCAACCCATTCTATGTTCTAAGGAAGGCTCCAGGCTTCCCGTCATCAATGCACAATAAATATGTTGTTACTGCTGCCAGCTACTTTACACAGCTAGAAACACTCTGCCATCAAAAAGCTTTCTCTCTTGCCCAATGCCATGCTCTCCCTTCAGCAGAATTCAATGGGTAAATATAAAAAAAGCACAATTGGCTGAAAGGGTTTTCCCCTGTGATTCCACAGAAGTGGAAACTACAAAACGTGTTCTTCCTTGTTGCTCCTTTTACAGAGATATCCAGTTCAGATTCATCCTGTCTCTTATTAGGAGATATCCTGGTTGGCCAGATCCAGCCTATGCCCAGATTTTGCTCATAGACAAATTAACTTCTTTTACAGCACATGTAGCTAGGTTTTGTGCACAGAAGATTTGTTGGACCCCGGTGGGACAATTTTCCACAATGCATTCTATGTAACTATAATTCATTGAAATTCTAGATATTATCACTTTGTTGTAATTTCAGAAGTTATTATATTTCATATAACTTTAATGTCTATGTTATACTTTAATATTGTTTGCATCCTTGAGCCATAGTTTGCATCCTGGTGTTTTATAGATATATACTGCTCAAAAAAATAAAGGGAACACAAACATGTAGTATGTCTTATTTTTGTGTTCCCTTTATTTTTTTGAGCAGTATATTTTAACTTTGCCTTAAACTTCATTTTGTTTATTATCTATTGGTGAAATATATATATATATGTGTGTGTGTGTGTATGTATATGTATATGTATGTATATATATCCATATATACAATATATATATGAGTGCAATAAACTGAAAACTGAATGCTACAATAGTATTGTGCACAAGGACAGATAGAGAGCATAGAATTATGATTGTCCTGTGTTTGAAATTTATCTTCTATCCTAAATTGTCTTAGATTGATTTTACAGTTCCATTCAATGAATCACTTAAGATGTAATTATATTGTAAGTACATTAAATATATTAACATCCACAGTAGATAATGAATGTAATGCGGAATGCACGGGAAAGAGAACTCTACCTCTCCATCATACATTGGGTGTCCTGATGTCATTCCTGATCTCTGGTCTCCATAGTAGCACCCACAAATTTTGAGAGGAATTGAGATGTGGGAAGTCATCAAAACAAATTGTGCTTGATATTAGGGGAACTCTGAATTTAGTGACCCTTATTTATTGGGAATAGATTTGTATTTTTCAAACCATTCTGTTTGGCCCTTAAGAAGAGTTTAGATACTTCGTTAACCGGGATTATGGTCCAAGATTATCAATAACAGTGGGATAAAAAGCATATTGAAATAATAGTCCTTTAAAATAGTCTTATAAGAAGAGGAAATATTGTATATGGTGAGAGATTCCTTGAATCCACAGACATTTCGATGTTACATTTGCTTGCAGTTAGTATTACACACTATGCATATAAAATTGAGTATGGTATATTAATTGTTTACACTTGTCTTAATTACTGTCATTAATTCCAATTCTGTTTCTTTCCACCACTTGAACTCTTATGAAGAAATAATTCAAAATTAAATAGCACTTCCCGCTAACTGGATTTTAATAACTCGCCCTCTATATACAAATATTTAAATTTAATTAAAATGCTAGGTGGTGAGAAATATGTTGCATGGTTATGACTTGGACTACCTAGCCCAAATTTCAAAAACCAATTAACAGCAATGTTATTTACACTATTAAGTCTTATATGATACTCATTTATAACGTAGTTAATTTTTATTTATATTCTCAAATCGTTCCCAAACTCTGTATCATAAAGAGAATGCAAGTGGAAGCTCCCTAAAGGGAGCTAATGTGTTGCATGCAAAATAGCATGAATCAGGTTGGGAACACAAGACTGGAGAAAATTGCAGTTGAACGTAGGAAAACAAGAAGTTACCCGATACCACTTTTTGCTAACCAGTTAACTTGACATGCATTTTCAGCTTAAAGTCCTGAGGAGAACTTTAAGCTGAAAATGCATGTCAAGTTAACTAGTAAGAAATACTAGTTAACAAAAAATGGTATCAGGTAACTTCTTGTTTTCCTACATTCAACTGCAACTTTCTCCAGTCTTGGGTTCCCAACCTGATTTAGGTGAGAATGTTTGGTTTGAGATGCAATATATTAGAAGGGCAGTGGCTAAGGGAGTGGCTAAGGGAGGTCTATTGGGTCTATTGGGATAGACTTAATTATAACGGTGTTGGGTGTACTGTTGGAAGACCAGAAGGACCAGACCCCCCAGATTGTGCTTTCTGGGGTCGTGCAACCACATCCAGAACTAAAGATAGTCCAGAGGGACCAAATACCCACAGTCACTCCATCTTGCTAGGGTTGAGTTGGAGCTGTTTTGCCCCATCCAGTCCCCAACAGCCTCCAACCACTGGGATAGGATGTTCATATCATCACTCAAAAGAGCTGGGTAGAGATAAAAGGCTGGGTGTCATCTGCATATTGTTGACATCTCACCTCAACTGATGGAACAGCTCACCAGTGGCCTCATGTAAATGTTAAACAGAACAGAATAGAATAGAAACCTGAGGCACCCCACAAAGAATGGGCTGTGAGCTGGATTTCTCTCCCTGCATGAATATTGACTGGAACTGGCCCTAGAGGAAGGAGGAGAACTGGTACAATACAATGCTGTCCCAATTCCTGAAGCTGACCCAGAAGGATACCATGATCAATGGTTTTGTATGCCTCTGAGAGGTCAAGAAAGCCAGGATGGATGCACTGTCCCCATCCCGTTCCTGCCTGAGGTCATCTATAAGTGTAATCAATGCCATCTCAGTCCCAAACCTTGGTCTAAAAGGGGTCTAGATAATCCTCCTCATCCAGGGTTATCTGAAGCTGCCATACAACAACTGTCTCAACCATCTTCCCTAGAAAGTGATGATTGGAGACTGGTCAAAAGCTGTCCAGACTACCTGAGCTGAGGACGATTCTTTGAGGATGGGGCTGACCACTACTTTTTAAAGAGTTGCTGGGACCATTCCCTCTCTCAGGGAGGGGGGGAATTAACCACCACCCAGACCCACTCAACCTTAATTAGCCAGGAGGATCTAACATATTGGGGACAACACATTTTACACTGACATACTTTTCTGCCAACTGAAGGTCTGGTGGATTATCTAGCGTTAAAGTGCCCTATGTATATGCATGTGCATGTAACATGGAATACTGGGAGAGGTTTTTGAGTTCAGTTGGCATGAGACAGAAATCAACTTGAGTAGCCATTCAGTAATATATAGGACTATTGGTGATAAAGCTGAGGCTATAAAAATGTTCAAATATAAGGCAATATTTTTATCTATAGAATGGCTGAAAATTTACTTGTAGTTGGAACATCCTACAACAGTGATTCACCCCACGAACTCGGGTTTAAATTCTTTCCTGCCAGTATAAGAAGAAGAAGAAATGTGATAGTGCAAGTTATTGGGGACTGGCCAGTGCACTGAAACCATCCTTTTCTAGTTTATTCTCTGATTCAGCAAGTTGCCCATCGCATATCCAATGACTGGAGGTTTTCTACAGCATGTGACATATCTACATGAATTCCTTTGATCATTTTTTTTAGATTACAAAATCTAATTCAGATTGTCACAGAAGATAGCAATATCTAGTTTTGTCTAACTGAACTTGGAAACACTGTGAGTTAGACCAGAATCTCCAGGGGTAGGCAACCTCGGCTCTTTTATGACTCGTGGACTTCAACTCCCAGAATTCCTGAGCCAGTATGGTTCAGCATGGAAACCTCTCCCTTTCCCCTCAGCGTGGCTGGTTCAGGAATTCTGGGAGTTGAAGTCCACGAGTCATAAAAGAGCCAAGGTTGCCTACCCCTGGGCTAGACTGAAACATTGAAAAGATACTCCAGAGGAAACAGTAGCGAATCACTTCTGGGTATGTCCATGAAATCATAAAATCATAGGGCTGAAAGGGATCTTGGAGGTCTTCTAGTCCAACCCCTTCTGGCCAAGGCAGTACTCCTTATACCATCCTGGAGGTTCTTGAAAACCTCCAGCAATGGAGCACCCACAACTCTGGGAGGCAAGCTGTTCCATTGATTAATCATTCCCACTGTCAGGAAATTCCTCCTTATTTCCAGCTTGGATCCCCCTATGACGAGCTTCCACCCATTGCTTCCTGTTCTGCTG